TTTTCTTTGTTTTTGTCTCGTCGGGCTGATCCGGGTAAATCAAATTTTATTATTTGATTGGCTGTTGGTCACGTGAATACACTTGGCTTTAGACAACCCCATATATAGTATATATTAACCATATCACATTACACTATGACCTTTTACTGGTTGACTAGCAAATCACCAATTAAGAAACAAATACTTATCAAAGTTAAAAAGCAAAACAAAATAGTTTTTGAACTTTTAACTGATGATAACAGAAGCTTAGATATTTTTTGATAAAGATAAAGAAAATGAACAGTTAGAAGACTTGAATAAAGAGCTTAAAGAAGTTATATTTGAACAGAATGAAATATCTTCTTTAGAAAAATTCTTTTTTTTTTTTTTTTTTAAACTCGTCTCTTTGGGGCTAAGGCTTTATTCAAGTATTATTGAGCAGGGTTCACATAGGATCTTCTTATATTAGAGAGTACAACTAGCCACATGTACACTTTTGGTGTCTAATTTAAGTAGTCCGTCTACATTATAGATTCTATACTAAATGCCATATCTATAACCCAACTACGGGTATTATCTATTTAAACCCTCTGTAATGCAGCTCTACTTGTATCACTGCTACATCTCCGTTACAATTATCAGTTATTTAGAAAAATTCTTTGATTTTGCTATGTATAAAAAAGATCAAGAAACAATTGAAAATTTAGTTCAGGCCAATATTGAACAAAGTGATTTGCTATTAGAAGAGGAAGGTTGGTCTGTTAATGATATTTTTGTAAAAAATTAATAAATTTTATAAATTAATTGTTTTATAATAAATAAATATATATCAATTATAAATTTTTTAATAAAATAAATATATTCTGTAAAATTCTATAATTATTAAATATATTATTATATGTTATACTATATATATTATTTAACTTTAAATAAATTGTTTACTATAGAAAAGAATTATTAAAAAATACAATATATAAATTTTGAAGCTATACTTTTAATTCTATTTATAGTAAAAATAATTTAAAAAACAGAAAAATAATTTAGAAATTAGTAACAGAATAAACTTTATACAGTCAAATCTCCATAAATGCAACGTGTACAGATCAGCCTAAAATGTGCATTTAGGGAGGTTTGTATTTAGAGGAAACCAATCAAATTGCAGCTTTTAATATTTGATCTGCAGCTTGTATAACAAACTTAAATACTGACTTCTGATTGGCTACGTGCACTTAGAGAGGTTAGTATGATATAAAAAATCTTTTGAGTGAACATGTATTTGCAGAATATAGAACATGCATTTAGCACTAATGATTTCATACAGCCAAGATAAAAATGTATATTTAGGGAGATATTGCATTTATGGAGGTTGCATTTAGTGAGGTCCGACTGTATTATATACGTTAAAATAATTTAGCAATTAGCAAAATAATTTGTATCTTGGCTAATTAGTATTAATTTTTTTAAAAAAAACTTAAAAATAATAATTTAAGCAATAATATTTATAGTTAGTTTTTTAATATCTTTTTGAATATAAGTTATTTGACAAAGTTTTTAAAAATTGTAATATATTAAATATAAGAATATACATAATTATATATTATATTCTATAATTAATGTTTAGTATTTTTTATATTATTCATATTCTATATATATACATTACCCTTATTAATAGTTAATAACTTTTTTAATTTTTTTTATTTATTCTTTATCTTGTTATTAAACTATATAATAGTAAGATTATCTATAATTAAAAAAATTGTTAAGTTTAAATTTTTAAAAAAATTTAACCAAATATATATTTGGCAATAACAATATATTAAAAAATTGTTAATAATTCAAATTTATAACTTTTGTTTAATAATTTTTATAACTTTTTAGCTTTGAATTTATTTTTTATTAGCCAATTAGAATAAAAGTTTACCATACAACTAATTTAAAGGTTGTTTAAAACAATAATAAATTATATGATATAAAACCAATCAGAAGATCAATTTATTTATATAAACTAATCAAACTCCAAATTGGTCATATGATTTATCTCTGCTTTGAATTTTTTTTAATTTATATATATATATATATTATATGATTTATATATAGAGGCATGATATGAAAGGCATGCCTTAGACTAAGGCATACCTTTTTGGACATATCTAAAAAATTTTCCATACCCCCAACTCTATTTGAATAAGCATGTTAAAAATTAGATAGTAGATTTAACCAACCAAATTCTCACTGTAATGTACTGCTGATTTATAAAATAAAAATAAAATCACTAAAGTAAAAAAAAAATAAATTTTTTAAAAAGAGAAATTATATTTGGTACAAGATGCACCCTATAGCAAACTATAGAAAAATCAATATAAATAAAAATTAAATTAAAATTATGGTTAAAGTTAGGGTTAGAATTAAAGTTAGGTTAGGATAAAAACTTTACAGAAAATATTTTTTGTTAGTTATACAACAGGGTTACCCTAGTAAAATTTTGAGATATCAAAGAGGGGTGCACCAAGTGCAAGGTGCACCAAAAATAAATGCCCTTTTAGAAAAACCCACCCGGATAGTAAATATACTTAAAATTTTTTTTTAGTTTTGTAAAATTTGACCCGGCCAGGTTATGAGAACCGATTTATTAAGTTTGTATGGCCTAACAATTAAAAAAATAAATAAAGCTTTAAAGATTGAATATTAACCAAATTACTTATTAACTAATACATAAATGAATTAAAGCAAGCCGTCAACTATCAATAAGAGTAATATCTCGCAAATAGAGAGTATGAACCGTGTAAAAACCAAACACTAACTATAGAACATAGCGTGTAAACGTACATATTCTACTCTACGTATACACTATATCTAATATATTGTAGCTTTTAAAAACTTGGTCGAATAACCTATATCAGAAAAAACTAACTGTAAGTATTGTTTCTTCAATCGCTATTTTCAAGTTCTTTTAAAAAAAACTTATTAACCAAGATACAAATTACCCTGCTAATTGCTAAATTAACTTAACCTATAAGACAAAAGTGCATCCCGTAGGTAGAATAAAAGGTGTGGTTTCGTTTTCATGGCTGCCAATTCGTTTAAAGTCAGATGATATATGTGGTGTAATATGTGACGATCATTTAGTGATTGACCATTAGCACTAGACCATAGGATCTTGTGTAATAAAAACCAAAAAACTAAATAATCATCGATAACAAAAGATATATTTTATTATGATAACGTATCTTAGGACATTAAATAAAAGTTTTCAGCGCACAATTTTACATATAATTTAGCTTTTCTAAACTTAACCCTGGCTAACCCTAACTCTAAATCTCGATTCTTTAAAAAATACACGGTGATGATCACCTGCGGTGAGGTTAAGAAAGCTCAATTTATAAAATATGTTAATAAAAAAGTTAATCGAAATAATTTTTGACATTATCATATTCACTGTCCGGATAATAAATATGGTTTGGAGTAGAATCTAAACAGTTGGTTCCATCGAGTGAGTCAAATTCAATGGAGAGCAGTGAACGGGTATGAGATGTAGGAAAATCTGCAGAAATTTCCCAATTCATAACTCCACGTAGATTGTTATCTACGACATATTTGGTTTTGAGCCTAACAACATCAGGTGTATCATAAGATACCAATTCTTTTGTAATTGAGTCGTAACTATAACTTGCTACTACTTTATCATCAAAAAACTCTTGGGCATTTTGGGGTGGTAGTTTTTTGTAATCCAAAACGCCCTTTTCCCATGTTCCTTCACCAATCCCATCAAAAGAGTGACCAATGCCTTTTGTTTTAGTGAACGAACGACCATACATTGGAATACCTACTACAATTTTTTGAGCCGAAACTCCCTGTGAGATATAACCGGTAACAGCTTTATCAACCGATAAATCGCCACCATATAAATTTGCTTGATGGTCAGCAACGGATGACCAAGAGCCTGCCATATCATATGACATTAGATTAAAGAAATCCAGATATTTACTCATATCTTTCAAAAACATCTTTTTGAATTTGTCTGGTCCACATGGTACTGCGGCAGTTAGAAGAAACGGAACTTGCTCACCAATTTTTTCAGCATATTTGTCCAATTCATGCCGAAGCTCTTTACATAATTTTACATAATTATTCGAATCGGATTCAGTAGAAGGGTACTCCCAATCAACTAAAACCAAAGAGAAATGAGCAAATATAAATAATTTTATAACATCAATTAACATAGTGTGTTAGATCAGCATTTTAAATGAATTATTGTAAACTCACTGTCGATGCCATCAGCACCAAGATTATACATCATCTTTATTGCGGAAGTGACCATTATTTTTCTCTTAGAAGGATCTGCGGCAACCGCAGGAAAATTAGTCGACCAAGTCCACCCGCCAATTGATATAAGTACTTTAATATGCCTATTATTCTTTTTTAATAGACCTAATTGTTTCCAATTGCCGTACAAATTGTTACCTCCTTCGTTCCAAGAATCACCGTCAAAATGCTTATCAGTATCTGCCCAGGGATCACCAAGTTTAACATTTCCATCAGCATCCAAATTTGCAAATGCATAATTAATGTGAGAAATTTTCGTCGCGTCGAGGTCTTTTATATTGAACTCACGGGCATAAATACTCCAACTTGTGAAATAAACGGAAATAATACGTTTAGTCATTTCCGGATGCGGTTCTGATGACTCGGAAGTTGGAATGGGAGTTATATGTGTGGGAATTGTAGATTCCAATGATGTTGATTTTTCTAACGTACCGCTAAATAAGTATATTAAAGAAGGTATAGAGGTCCAAAGAGTAATTCCGATTGCGAG